TCTCCATCCTTGGAGGTTTTTAAGACTCGGCTAGACAAAACCCTGGCTGGAATGATCTGGCTGTGGATGGTCCTGCTTTGAGCAGGGGGTTGCATGAGATGGGCTCTCGGTAGCTTTCAGCCCTAATTTTCTCTGATTCTGTGAAAAAAAGCAGAATTGACATGAGTATTATTGACTTTAAGAACCAACTTGCAGTGTTAATATAGTGTAACGTGCAGTATTGATATCAGTTTAACACATTGGCCTTTCTTGTTTCTACAGGTGCAGGATACTGTAGCTGCTAATTTAACTGGACTGCTAAATGGAGTTGAGTGGTTACTTGAAGAAGTTGAACATAAAAATGTACAGTGATCAAACTTATTTTGCCATACTGTATAAACTAGAAAGCTTTACTTGTATTTGCAAAGCACATGGAGGGAGAATCTCACCCTGACATTGCACTATCTGATAAGAAAATTAAAAGGCAGGCCCTGCATTTTTGCATATATTTTAAAAGTTAGCATTCTTCTAACACAGATTTGGATTATTGCAACCATAAGCAAGCATGGCTGGATGCCAGTATTCAATTAAAAAAAATATATCTTGGGTTTGGGTTGGGTTAGATTGGATTTGGTTTTAAATTGCACTCTTTATAGTGCCTTCCTTTCCCAGCACCTTTTATAAGTTAAACCAGTGGTACTCACAGTTTTGGTCTTGCAGGTCAGATGAATGCTGCAAGGCTGATCTGCAGGCCAGATCAGGCTCTATGCACCAGGATCAGGTCCTGGGGCTCCGAGCTGCCTTCAAAGTTTGATCCTAGATGGGTGGGGGTAGTGCAGGGCCCTGGGGCCTGATTCTGGCCAGGTAGAGGTGGTACAGGGCTCTGTGCCATCCCTATCTAGCCAGGCTCCATGCTGCCCTTGCCCAGCCAGGATTGGGCTCCAGGGGTGTCATGCTGCCCCTGCCCACCCCACCATGTGCCAGGATTGGACCCTTTGCTGCCCTGCATGCCTGATCTAGTGTGCAAGGCCACAACTTGCAGGGCTCCTCACAGGATCCACGGGGAGTCCTGCAGGCTGGACGGCACAGCCCGAGGGGCTGGATCTGGCCCTCAGGCCAGGGGTTGAGCACCTCTGGTTTAAACCATTTTGTAGATATTTCAGCCACTGTTAGCTTAGTTCCAGCACAGCTCTCTCCTTGTCAGCGTAATTGGATTAATTAAGTGTATTTATTGGAGATAGCAGAAATCAGACACCTGACTCTTGCATAGTATATTCCTTAAATGGTTAACAGAAGTGTGCCATATACCGTAAATACAAGGACTCTTTGGAGGAGCAGTGTCTAGACCTGTGCTTCTCAACCTTTTGTTATTCAAGGTACCCTCCATAACTTTTCTGAATTTGGCAGAATCCCACTTGAAGCATTGCTGTACTGATTCAGCTCACCTCAGTGCTTCTCAGCTCAGGTGCTGCTGCTGCCACTAGGTGAAGTCCCATGCTCATCTCGGGTTGAGTGCAGAGCCTGATTGGGAAGCAGCTGACTGCTTGTGCTACAACACTTCCCAGTCTGGCCACCCAAGTTCTTCCTGACATGGGACAGTTCTTTGTGGCAACAACAGCCTAGATAAATGCAAAAAAACATAAGATCAATCTCCAGGCTGTTGTTCATCCGCTACTGCAGGTGGAACTGCCCCATGGACCTGCATGCTAAATCCAGTATGTAGGTTTGTTCCAGCATGGGTCCTATGTATAGTGCATGTGCCAGATTGCCCCCACTTATTGTGTACAGTGTGCATGCCTGATCTATCTCTGTCCAGTGTGTGGGGATGGTTTGGTGCATAGTGCATACAGTGTGTGGGCTTAGACTGAGACCTGCAGGCAGCACCAAATGACAAGGGCTAGATATGGCCTGTGGGCAGTATCTCTGAAATACCTTCTCTAGGGGATGAAGCCCTTATTTTTCGTATCACTGGATGGCATCATCACGACCCAAAGCAAACTTCTTGACTACCAGGCTCTTGTCATCCCTTCCCTGTTGTATGGTGTGAAACCTGGACAACATATTGGTACACCTGAAAGCCTTGGAACATTACCATCAGCAATGCCTTCAGAAAATCCTCCATATCAGTTGGAAGGATGGAATGGATATCAATTGGAAGAAAATGAATGCCAGTGTTCTTTCTCAAGCAAACACCACCAGCATTGAAGCCGTGTTTTATGGCACCAGCTCTGTTGGACAGGACAGATCATAAAGATACCTGTCAACCTGAGAACAGGTCCTATACTCAACTTGCTAATAGTCACAACTATAGAGATGGGCAAAAGAGATTCAAGGAGACCTTGAAGACTAATCTGAAGAAATGCAATTTTAATACCTGGGAGACTCCAGCACTGAATTGTCCTCAGTGGTGCTGTGAATTGCGACAAGGGAGTGCAACAAAGCATTGACCATTTTGAGCAAACTTGCCTCACTATGGAGGTAAATAGGTGAGAGAAACAAAGGGAAAGAGCTGTTTTGTGTATGTATGGTTCTTCTATAAGATACTTTATAGGAATGTATCTGGTACAATATTCTGTTGCTATTCAGGATAAAGTACATACAAATAAGCATAATTTGTAACGAGACTGTGTGAATTCCTGCCAGTTGTAAATAGCAATAATAATAATTCTGCAATGGCTTATTCTGTCCTGTGGAGGGGATGTACATCACTCTCTAATCCTTCTGCACTACCACAACAATGTGGCTTGGGCAGGAGGATTCAGTCTCCTCTAAGGCTGGTGGAGATCTTAAATCACAACCTCTTTCCCTGGAACTTGTGCTTGTTCTAAGATACGGCATTTCTGACTGGTTTTTCCCCTGTGTGTCTTCATTGGCAAGTTTTACATCTGATTTTAATGTTCTGTTTATGCAATAATTATTGTAAAGGCATTTTTCATGTTTTTCCTCCTCAAAATGTATTGATAATAAATTATTTTTAAAGGTGGCAACATCTCTAGATCTTTCTCTTATTTGCATAGGTTTAAAAAATGCTGCAGAGGTTTTTTTTCTGCTTTTTTCAGAAGGTATTACGAGCAGTAGAAAGTGAGAGACAGCTTGGAAAAATGTTCTTTATATTTTCCAGCATATTTGTTCTTAGTTAAGGGTGTGTCATAGTAACAGCTTCCATCTTTGAGAGGTTGGAGCACAAAATGCATGAAAAACACTTAATGCATATAAACTATTACTGATATATTTAGGCATCAGTAACTGCTTATGATTACAAGTAATGGCAATGCTTTGAAAACAACCTGATCTTTGAAGACAAAATAGTGCTGTTCTGTTCATTAGTGCAAATTTTAGTTTTGCATTGAAACAAAAGATGAACAATTATCATATTTTCTCACATATAGCATACATCTGAATATAGCGCACACCCTGCTTGTGGAAGGCCCAAAGGAAAAAGATACTGCCTTGGAATACAGCTAAATACCTGCAGTCTGAAGTCTCTGGGGCCACACACTAAGTACTGCTGTGGACTGACCCTGTGCAGTGGTCTGGTCCAGCATGCCGGGACTTGGGGCTGTGTGTCAGGGCTGAGGCCTCACACCAGGTTCAGTTGTGGACTGACTGACCCCACATGCTGACCAACGGGGCCCTTAAAGAGCTGGAGGTTTTTTGGTGCAGGGGAGTGGTAGAAGCCATGGCAATTAACACTGTTACCACTCCCCCACTGCCAAGTCTCTGGATCTGTACTTGTCACAAAGTACACACCCACATATCACCCAGCTGATTTTGGGGAAAAATGCGTGTGTTTTATGAGAGAAAATACAGTACACCTGATTTTCTTCCTGTATTCTGTAAGTGAGTCTTTCTATCCCTTTTGATCT